AGAACGCCCAGGGTTCCAACCCGTAGACGCGCTGAGAAACGTTGATATTTAACCGACGGTCACGACATGAGTTTAGTTTCAGATGATCGCCTGCAAATTGTCATCCTATGGATAGAAAATTGCAGGCCTGACTGTCCGACGCGCTTGAGTGCCATGTGTGATGTAAAACCCAACGGATCCAATTCCAAGAAAGGTCGAGGCGAAATACGACATGGACTCGACGACGGTGTTCGAGTAACAGGGTATACTAAGTCTATAGTTGTACACGTCGGCGACACGCCTAAGCCCCTGCTTCACTGAGTTCAGCCTTAATGAGAGGAGGGGTTTCCGGCCTTTGTACCGTAACCTGCATTTTTATGGATTCGGAGACGTATGAGAATGATGTGTGGTGGTCTTTTCTAGGGCAGAGTGGGACATGGCCAATCGTCAGCTGGGTTTTGTCGCTACCGGTTACTTAAGTACTCCATTTGTAGAAGCATTGCTTTTTGGGTCTTGATGTCTCTAGACGCTCTCCTTGGTCGGGATCTAGGCATTGGGCTTGTCACAGCGCATCATTAGTCGAGCGAAGAGTCGTGATATTGGCGAAGGGGGGAAGTTATAATACAAATCAGGACACTATTGAGTATCTTAGAAACAATACTTGACTACAATACCAAGCAAGAGGGCCGCGCCATCGTTTTCTCGGTCCCGTGAGATGGAAATCTCGGAGGTTTCTGTGGTAGACGCTTCTCTTGACGTGACTGCTTCATACTATCATATGGTAGGCGAGAGGTATATATACATAAACATACATACAAGAGATGATGACATCCATTTCACCTCCTCAATCAGAGTGGAGTGGTCGTTGTGGGGACTTCTCTTCTATCATAACCGTTTCACCGGGTATTGAATCCGAGGAAATCACTTCTATCGCATCATGGCTGAGTCCCAACTCAGCTCAAATACAAATCCTTTCAGTGATACATCAATGAAGCAAAAACAAAAGTAAAAGCCAAAAGAAAGGAAAACTCCGACCATGCATTCCGCGATACAACGCCTGTACGTGACCAGAAAGAAAAACACCAAGGTACCATGGCAAGCGTAGTATATACCAAGTCAGATCAAGAACATCAAGGAACTAATTCAGTCATCGTCCTCATTGTCCTTAGTTGACTTGTTCTTGGACTTTTCCGCGAGCTCCTTCTGCCAGATGTGGTTGGCCGCGTCCTTGTCCAAACCGGTAAAGAGCAAGTCGAATACCTCCGAGTACCAGCTCACTGCATGGCCTTCAATGCCTTCTTTGATGTTCTGAACAATCGTTAGCTCATGAAGTAAGAGTCGAAACAGAAAACAAATTACTCACCTCGGGCAGCTCCAGCCAATCCGACGTGTTGTCGGCGGGGAAGATGATCTTCGTGGCACCGGCACGACGAGCAGCAACGGTCTTCTCGCGCAAACCTCCAATACGCAAAACTTTGCCGGTCACTGTCAATTCTCCAGTCATAGCAATGGTCGGGTCGAGAGAGTGGTTCAGCGCCAAGGAGAGAAGGATGATGCCATTGTAATACCAGCAGATGGACCTGATTACTGTCAGCTGAATGTATGGGGAATAACGCAAAAATGTGACTTACCATCCTTGGGCACGGCACCCTCCGGACAATGCATGTGAAGCCTTGCCTTTTCGAAGATTTATTCTCCGGGAATTGCTTAGCCAACACCGACTTGGCGAAGGAGTACGCGATATGGGAAGACTCTTTCATCACATTTTGGAGATTGCCAGTGATTTCGATACCCGGTCGGGATTCGGAAGTCAAAGCGTTCTCCAAAATGGACTCAACATACAGCGCAGCGCCTCCCATACTAGTCCAAGCAAGGCCCATTGTAACGCCGGGTGGGAATGTTTCATACAGCCTATCGGATGTGAAAACCGGGGGTCCAACGTAATCAGTCAAGCTGTCCTTGCCAATGCTGAGCTGCACCCCCTCTGGAACTGTAAGAGCAACGCGAGGTGTTTCAGTCGTTGCTTTCTCTGGTTCAGTTGTGGCGTTAGCAGAGTCGGCAGTCTCGCTCTCCTTCTTCGACTCCTCCTGTGCAGCCTTGCCCTCATCGGTCAGAGCCTTCTCTTCGGCGAGCACGTCCTCTCCGAGGTCACGAACGATCTTAAAAGCAGCCTTGCGGTAAACTTTCTCAATTTGCTTCTTGAGATTCCGAACACCACTTTCACGACAGTAAGATTTGATAAGCTCCTCAATAGCTTCCTCTTTCAGAGTAACATCGACATCCTTCAAGCCCGTCAGTTCCCTAGCAGCTGGGGCTAGGTAGCGCTGAGCAATAGCCATCTTCTCATCCGCAACATATCCTGACAGCTCAATGAGCTCCATTCGATCGAGTAGAGGGCGGGGAATCGTATCAGTGACATTGGCCGTGCACACGAAGAGAACCTTGGAGAGATCCACTGGGACATCCATATAGTGGTCCAAAAAGGAGGAGTTCTGCTCCGGGTCAAGAAGCTCGAGGAGTGCAGAAGACGGATCCCCCTGGTGGCCGCGCCCGATCTTGTCTATTTCGTCAATCAAAATTAAAGGATTTTCCGTCTGGCATTTCTTGAGGGCTTGGATGATGCGTCCCGGAAGAGCACCCACATAGGTCCTACGGTGCCCCTTGATTTCTGCGACATCCGTCAAGCCACCAACGGAAAAGCGGTAATATTGCCTGTTCAGAGCCCGAGCGATTGACTTTCCAATACTAGTCTTTCCAACACCAGGTGGTCCCACAAGGCAAAGAATCTTGCCTTCAACGGTTCCACGAAGTTTTCCGACGGCAATGAACTCAAGAATACGGTCCTTGACATCCTTCAGGCCGTAGTGGTCTTCATCTAAAACGGATGTTGCGTGTTGGATGCCAAAGTTCTCAACACTCTTCTGGCCCCAGGGTATCTGGGTCAACCAGTCAAGATAGTTGCGGGTGACATTGAACTCCGAAGCAGCCGGTTCCAGATGAGCCAGCTTATTGAGTTCTTCGTCAAAGACCTTCTTGACAGCCTCTGGCATAGCAAGCTTCTCCGCCTTCTCTTTGAACTTTTCAACAAGCTTGTCCTTACCATCGGATTCGATACCTAACTCTCTCTTGATGCCCTTCATCTGCTCCATTAGCCAATACTCACGTTGGCGCTTTTGAATCTTAGCCTCCACATCTTTTGAGATCTTTGACTGAAGTTGCGCGTTCATTAACTCTTTCTTCAATACCACCAAGGCTTTAGGAAGTCTCTCCTCAATATCCATTATTTCGAGGACCTCTTGCATCTCCTGCAGTTCTCCGGCAGAAACAGCAGCTGCAAAGTCGGCCAACTTAGATGGCTCGTCACTCAAGTTTCCAGGGAATTGGTCGGTATAGAAGGCGGAAATCTGGTCGCGGAAAAGAGGATTCAGGCTGGCGATTTCTTTACAGACATTGACGATCTCACTGGTCACTGCACGAATAATGGCGCTCTTCTTGTCATAAGGTACCTCCGCCAGGTTCTCTACGTTAACCAAGCTGACTGGATACTTTCGCAAAAATGATGTAGGCTCGTAGTGATCCTTGGGTGCGAGCTCCTGAGTTCCCTCTTCGAAGCTGGCTACAACGTCACCCTGTTTTTCAGACGGCTTGTCTTCTGTAGCGGAAGCCTTCGCCGAATCACTGGGTGGCAACAAAGATGAGACCTTGATTCGTCGGTGAGGATAAAGCACAGCCGTCACGCCACTAGCTTCCCCACGAAGAGGATAAGCAGCAGTAATCTGAGCGAACACCCCAACATCGTATACATCATCAAGATTTTCGATCACATCTCCGTCAGCGTTCTCATCCTTGAACAAAAAAGCTCCCACATAAGGCTGCCCACGCTTCATCATGTCCTGGATAGCCATTGCCACATTTGGATCTCGGATAGTGATGGCTTTGTAAAAGCCCGGGAATAACGGGCGCTTCGCGATGGGAATGGCCATGACCTGAGGATAAACTTCAGGAACAGAAGGCTTCTGCAAAGCTTTGTCGCTGGAGCCCTTCTTGCCTTTCTTTCCACCATCTTCGTTGCCTCCGTTGTTTGCGCCACTAGGCTTGGAATCTGAGTCGCCACTGACAGGAATAGGAGACGGTTCATTGGAGTTTCCTTTGCCTTCAGCTACATTATTAGGCTTCTTTCCATCATCCTCCAATCCTCGTTGCTCCTTGTCCACCGTCTGCTTCTCTCTCCGTTTTGTAGATCCCGATGTCGGAGCTCCGGATTCTGTTGATGAGCCATGTTTCCCTGACTGATCGCTAACTTTGCGTCGAGGTTCAGAAGTGCGTTCAACATCCTTATCCTCGTTCTTGTCCTTCTGCTCTTTATGGTCCGGGTCTTCCTTGCCGTCTCCGGGTGGGGGTTTCTCTCTTCGGCGAATGGAGCTTGACGAGAAGGTGCGGGAGGGAGGGACGGAGCGGGAGAGGCGCGACGAAACTAGGATTGACCGGGCACTGGCATTGTATCTCGGTGAAGCGAGCAGAGGCCGAATAATCAATGGGCGCGGTGTCTGGTGGAGCGCAGCTCTCCAGGGGAGGGACTGGCCGCGGAGCATGCTATAGTTGTAGCTGCGAATACGGGAGAAGAAGAATAGGGATATAGGGAAGCTATAGTACAGGAATAAAACACAAGAATACAAATACTCACGGGAAGATTAAAAAAGAAAAAGGGATTCGGAGAAAAATGAGAAGCTTCAGGAGCAATGGTCGGACCAGCAGCTAGTTGAGGTACGAGTGATTGATTACCGAAGCAAGAAGCCTTTCATCATCATCGTCTCGGTACATCGTTTCTCCGGTCGGGAAACTTTTTCGAGCGGAACGACTCGAAGCTTCTAAGTTTCTCCATATCAGGAGGCGGCAAAACTCGGCTTAAAACGGTCACTGGCGTGCTCGGATTTTCCAAATCAACACCATTGATTTCAAATCACTCCCTTCTCCTCCTGGTCCAGTCTGTCCGTTGGGTTAATGCCCGTTCATTTCACAACATGAGCGCTACTTCCGCCGCAATGCCCAAGGCCGCGGCTATTCCCGCCCGTTTACTCCGGAGTACATCGCGGCAATATTCGAAGAGCCCAGCAACCAGCGTTCGGGCCTACCATGCCTCACCGACTTCATCAACTGACAAGCGGGTGCGATGTGGTGCAACTAATAAGAAGCAATCTGTGTTTTCCTCGTCAAGGGTAAGCTGCCTTTAAAACATGTGCATCATCGAGTCATGACTGATTTCACTTCTAACCTGTATAGATTTTCCATACTACTGCTCCCCTTGCCGCGGTCCCCGACCCATACAAAGTCTTAGGAGTCGATAAAAATGCATCCGCAGGCGATATCAAGAAAGCCTACTATGGAATGGCAAAGAAATACCACCCGGACACCAACAAGGAGCCAAATGCTAAGGAAAAGTTCGCGGAGGCCCAGACAGCTTACGAGTTACTTTCCGATCCCAAGAAGCGTGAGAACTACGATCGATTTGGCTCCGCAGCGTTCGACCAAAACGGTGGCTTCGATCCCAGCGCAGCCGGCGGTAACCCGTTCGCAGGTGCCGGTGGGTTCCACGGATTTGGCGGTGGCTTTGGAGGTGGTTTCCCTGGTGGTTTTGGAGGAGCAGATATCAATTTCGAGGATCTCTTCGGCGCATTCACAGGTGGCGCACGTCGTTCTGGTCGAGGCCGACGGGGACCGTTCCAAGAGATTCTGGTAGGCGAAGACATTGAAGTCCAGACCAACATTTCTTTCATGGAAGCCGCGAAAGGTACAACAAAAGATATCGTTATCACACCTTTGACTCCATGCGGTACATGTAGCGGCGACGGGCTTAAGAAAGGCGCCAAACGCACCCAGTGCCGTGTATGCAACGGCTCTGGAACCCGTGTGCACTTTATGCAGGGAGGCTTCCAGGTGGCAGCCACTTGTGATGCCTGTGGAGGTGTAGGCATGTCTGTCCCAAGGGGCTCGGAGTGTGGCTCCTGCAATGGCAACGGTGTGGTCAGGGGCAAAAAGACCGTACAGGTTGACATTCCAGGTGGTGTAGAGGATGGCATGCGCTTGCGCGTGAGCAACGAAGGAGATGCACCACCCACCGGAACATCTGCCGCACCCGGAGCCCGCACACAACGAGGCGACCTGTACGTGTCCATTCGGGTCGCTCCTGATCATAGATTCAGCCGTTCCGGTTCCGATATTCTCTATACGGCTCAGATTCCCCTCACGACTGCTCTTTTGGGTGGTGAAGTAACCGTGCCGACCCTTGATGGTGAAGTCAAGATTAAGGTTGGCACGGGTACTGGCACCGGCGACAAGGTCACACTTTCTGGAATGGGTATGAAGCGACTTGGTAGTCGTACGAGTCGCTTCAGCCCCACTGGTGATCTCAAGGTCGAGTTCAAGGTTGCCATGCCCAAGTACTTGACAGGTAACCAGCGGACTATCCTAGAAGTTCTTGCGGATGAGATGGGTGACAAGACGGCCAAGCGAGTCATGGACGTTGGAAAGGATAGGTGAGTTACGCGGGTTTGGACAGCATTTCCTGCTACTGGTACTGACGAACACACAGCCCACCGTCCGGAGGGGACGCTTCCGCAGGAGACTCCAAAAACGAAGGATTTCTCAAATCCGCTTGGCACAAACTCGTGAACAAGTGTGAGAACTCACCCGAAGAATCGAGCAAGAAGGACTCAGGCGACAGAAGCAAGAACGACGGCGAAAAGAAGTCGAACTGAAAGGAGTTCAAGTGACATACATAATCAAGGCTTCAATATACTACTTCCTTCAGGGTCATGTTATCACTACGTATTTGAATTTTTTGTCGCAATATCATAGCGCCGGCGAGATAAGGGGTTCACCATTTACGAGAGTTGGGAAATTTTTGTGTCTGCGTTCATTTCGACCGTTTGGGAGAAACGGTCGTGTGTCAATAGAGAGACCGGGACTGTATGTATCTATGTATGTATGTATAATTAGACCTTACGCACGAAAGACATTCTCTACTTCTTCTATATACTATATTCACGGGCATGCCATGTAAATCAGGCAAGGAAATTACTTCGGGCGGTTATTCAGCCATATTGGCGCCTGAGGAGTCGAAGGGCCACAGCGTCATTAAATTGTTAACTAAACCAAAGTCGTTGCCTTCCAACCTTTACCTGAGTTTCCAACCACCATCTTCTCAAACAACAATTTGCTCTGTCGTCCCGTCCAATTTCCCTCCATTTTCTTTTCTACGTATATTATCACCCGGTTCGGATATCTTCCCCCCCTTCCCCGGTGTCCCCACTACTCTTAGCTAACGACCCTCAGCTACGTTCCGCTAACCTTGTTGACCTCCTGCCTTCCTTTACCCCACAGCTCTCCATTGCCGATAATCCTCCCCTCCTCCCTTCCACTGCGCAAGCCCACCCAGCTATTCTTTCGCCCTCATACCCCCAGTTCGGCTCCGTTGTATTTTCTCCGTCTGTGGATGGGAGCTCCCGGCTCCTTCCGACCTACAAGATGGTTCAGTCGCCAATGATCTCATGTCCGCTGAAGCAGACCAACGAAATTGATTGGATCCAACCACTCAAGGACTACATACGCCAGACCTATGGTGAAGACCCCGAAAGATATGGCCAAGAATGCGCAACCCTCAACAGATTGCGCCAGGATATGAGAGGTGCAGGGAAAGATAGTGCGACAGGGCGCGACCTATTGTATCGGTATTATGGGCAGCTGGAGCTCCTCGATCTGAGGTTTCCTGTGGACGAAAATCACATTAAAATATCATTCACTTGGTATGTATTTGGTCATCCTTTCCGACCGCCCTCATTTTCTTGTTACTCAAACCTCTAACATAAATATCTCGTCATAGGTACGATGCTTTCACACATAAGCCCACCTCTCAATACTCCCTAGCTTTCGAGAAAGCCTCAATCATTTTCAACATATCCGCCGTCCTGTCCTGTCATGCTGCGAATCAGAACCGGGCGGAGGATTCGGGCCTGAAAACCGCCTATCACTCATTCCAGGCGGCCGCGGGGATGTTTACCTATATCAATGAGAACTTCCTACACGCACCGTCGACCGACCTGAACCGAGAGACTGTTAAGACTCTAATCAATATCACCCTAGCCCAGGGTCAAGAGGTCTTCCTCGAGAAACAAGTGGCCGACCAGAAGAAAGTCGGCTTCCTTGCAAAACTCGCCAGTCAATCAGCATATCTATACTCACAGGCAGTTGAGGGGATGCAAGAGTATGCGAAGGGTGTCTTTGAGAAGGTCTGGGTGGTTGTGGTTCAAGCTAAAGCGGCGCATATGGCTTCGGTGGCTTCTTATTACCAAGCCATGGCTGACAGTGAGAGCGGATCGCATGGGGTGGCCATCGCTAGGCTTCAGCTAGCCGAGAAGAACTCAACTGCTGCATTGAGTTGGGCAAAGTCCTTCCCATCATCCGTACCTCCCAATTCAAACCTGAGCGCCGAGTCGGGCTCTACTCTGTTGGACATCGTCAAATATCATCTTGCAACTGTACAGGCTAATCTCGTGACATTCACTAAGGACAATGATTTCATCTACCACCAGCCAGTTCCGAACGAAGCGGGCCTGTCGGCTGTTGCAAAGCTGCCTGCGGCGAAGGCCATCCCAGTCAGCGAGCTCTATCAGGGACAGGATATCCAGCGGATCATCGGGCCGGATATCTTTCAGAAACTCGTACCTATGTCTGTCACGGAGACAGCCAGTCTCTATGACGAGGAAAAGGCGAAGTTGATACGGGCGGAAACGGAGAAAGTTGAAACAGCAAATGGAGAAATGGCCGCGAGTTTGGACTACCTGAAGTTACCTGGAAGCTTGAACATTCTCAAGGGCGGGATGGACCAGGAGATGACAGTCGATGACGAGTTCCGACGATGGTGTCAAGATCTTGCGGGGCATCAATCTTTCACCAAAGCGTTTGATAGTTTGCAGGAGCGCAAATCGGAAACGCTGGCCCAGCTAGATCAATGCGCTAAGCAACTTGACCTGGAGGAAAGTGTTTGCGAAAAGATGCGCTCTAAGTACGGACCTGACTGGAGTCAGCAGCCTAGTGCAAGGCTAAATACTACACTACGCGGCGATGTTCGTACATATCGGGACACCGTCAATGAAGCCAGTGCCAGCGATTCTCAACTCCTCTCTACATTTCGACAGTATGAGTCGGACTTTGATGAGATGCGATCTGCGGGAGAAACAGACGAGGCCGATGTATTGTTCCAGCGGGCGATGATCAAGGCCGGGTCTAAGTTTGGCAAAGGCAAGAATGGCCACAGTAGCCCTTACGCGCCAACATCGGAAGTAAGCTTGATAGACGATGTTTACGATGAGGGAGGGCTTTCGGTGGCGGAACAGATTTCCATGGTTGAGTCCATTCTCAAGAAGTTGAACTTGCTCAAGCGAGAACGGTCCCAGGTCTTGAAAGACCTGAAAGAGAAGGTATGCATATGCCCAGAAGATTCAGTTCTCTCCAATGCTAATATTGTGCTTGAAGGTTCACACTGATGACATATCGAATGTGCTCATACTGAACAAGAAGTCCATTGCTGGGCAGGAGGCGCAGCTTTTCGAAGCTGAATTGGAGAAATTCCGCCCACACCAAAACCGGTTGCTACAAGCCAACCATAAGCAAGCCTCACTAATGAAAGAGCTCACTAAAATCTATGGCGACTTGCTTCAGGACAAGCGAGTGCGGGCCGAACAGTCGAAATATGAAACCATAACCCGCCAAAGAAATGCAGTCATGGCGCGGTATAAAAAGGTATACGATGCGTTCAATGGCCTGCTATCGGGAGTTAGACAAGCACAGACCTTTTATACCGAAATGGGCGACACAGTGGAGAGCCTGAGGAAGAATGTGGAAACTTTCATCAACAATCGGAGGTCTGAAGGCGCTCAGCTTTTAGGGCAAATCGAACGCGAGAAGGCGAGTAGTGCGACGGAACAGGAGGATCGTGAACGGGAAAAGCTCAGGCAGTTGATGGAACGTCTTTCCACTGAGCCTAAGCCGTCTTCTTCCTCGTCTTCAGGGGTTCCGACAAAGGTGAAGTCTCCTCCGCCTCCTGTGCAGACACCCAGCTATCCAGGTCCTGGCATATCCTCGCCGAAGATGTCGCCGCGTTATCCTCCTGTCGCAGGACAATCCCACGGACCCCCGCTCTCTCACTCTCCGGCACCGTATGGTCAATACACAAGCTCTGGGGCCGGCGTTTCATACGTGCCGGGCCAACCTTTCCAACAGGGGGCGGCAGCACCGCTCACTGAGAGCTATAACCCCATGGCGTATCCCTTCCCCGCCTCCGCCTCGCCTCCTCCAACCCAACAATATTTTTCGTCCACACCCACCCCATACAGCGGCTACTCCAATCCAACTCCACCCACTGCACCCTCGCAATTTATGCCTCAGGGGTACGTCCCGCCTCCCCCGCCACCGCGTCCCCAGCAAACCTCGTATGCCCCGTCCACGGGACCCTTCCCCTCTGGCCCTGGCGGATACGCCCAAAGCAGACCGTACGGCTCAAGTCAGCATCACAAGGTGCAGTCCCAATCCTCACAGTCGCAAGGCCAGCCCGCGTCAGCCGATCCTTGGGCGGGTCTCAACGCATGGAAATAAGCGGCGCTCATGCAACGGGTTGGATTATGAAGTATGATAGACTCATGGACTGGAAATTTGCATTCAGGCGTTACGTCTACTCTTTTTCGCTGATTATATGCGCTAATGCTGTATGTTTCAACTTTTGTGCTTTTGTTTTTATCTTCGCGGGACTCGTGCCCTGCGAGATATAGTTGAAATCTTGAAGCCCAATATATGTATGTATATACATAAATCATGATGAAGAAAAAATGCAGGCATGTACTTGATTGAAACGATATTATTAAGCGCAACAAATATCCTCCATTATATTCAGACACAGGGGGCCAGACTCGGCACACCGCGATAAAAGTACAGTGGAACCCAGAACTCCATTATAGTACATGATATTATGCATAACAAAGTAGATTAGAGACCTAGACCCAAACAGACGGAGTATCCCAACACCCAAGCAACAATATAAGTAGACCTGAGCAAATATCTGACAGATCCAAGGTATTAAGACAAGTCATGGGGCTGTATCGTCTTTCATAGGTCCGGGGAAGAGTAGTTCTGTATCAAAAAAGCATAAACATAAAGATAAAACAAGTAAGACCAAAAACGTAAACAATCTGCGCCAGTGGGTATCATGAGAAGAGGGGGTGCGAATGTGGCAGAAGACTCCGAAATCGTAGTATATCTTGTACAGAGTGACGTAGGCAGCGATCGCGGACCAAAAAACAAAAAAAAAAAAAAGTGGACAGCCAAGAGCCAGTCCCCGGCGAGATGTATGAGAAAATCCCAATAAAACACCAATGTATCGACCAATATTTTGGAAAGAAAAAGAAAAAAGAGTATAGGCGAAGAAAAGAATAAACAGAAGCGACTAAGGTTGAAACCTCAGACGAAACTGTCTTCCTCTGCCTTCTTCCCGAACTTTGTACAGAAACCGCGCAATGGCTTCTTGCTCCGCGAGACCGGCGCTATTGAAATGTTTGCGGACGGTGAATGCAAGGTGATTCTTGCTCACGCGATCCTGGCCGATAATATGGTTTAGGGCATTCTTTCCTTCCATTGCGCTTTGGTTCTTGTGGTTGTGTCCTGAGGAGCCTTTTGTGCCATTGATCTTGCTTGCGATGTGGGGGGATGGGGTTTTTTGTTGTTGGTGTGAGAGCCGTTTGTGTTCTGGCTTTGGCGAAGATGGGCCCGTTGGGCGGCGATGGAGGTAGGGGATAGAAGGCCGATTCCTTTGGAGAGGATGAGCTGGGAGTATTCGGTGGGATAGCGCTGGGTGAGGATATTTTGTAGGCGTGTCGGTAGGAGTGGAGGAATTCGAGAGGCATCTCGGACCAGGGGACCTGGGGCACGAGAATTAGACGTTAGCAATTTGAACAACAGCACAAGATTACTGTTTAGTATAAAGGATAGATGGACGGCAGTGATTTCGGGTGTTTGGCAAGAAAATAACTTACTTTGGGCTGATTGTCTGGCTGGTCGCCATCTCCCATGGGGGCGCTGGTGACATTGGCAACATTGGAGGAAATCTTGACATGGGAGGCAGAGTTCACTACCGTAGAGTTGTTTGCTGCCTTGCGACCTTTTCCAGCGCCAGTCTTCTGCTCTCTTGTAGTACTAGATGCTTCGGATCGAGAGTCATCGTGAACGGCTGTCGCACGCTGCCGCGGGGGAGCCATGATGACAGCAGAAAGGACACAAGAGCAGGCAAATGAGGGAAGGGGAAAGAGAGCCGAGCCGTTTGAAGGCCCGTGAAAGGAGGGCAGATTATATTAGAGGGTCCTAGCCTCAATTGTCAACAGAGCTGAGCAGTATCCAAGAAACGTTCATTGTAGGCTACTAGTGAAGCATGAAAAAGAAGAACTTTGGAGATTATCAGGAAAGCGGGAAGACGCGGCAGAATCCTCGAGGCGCGACGACATCATTTCTGCTTCCGGCAATATTGCCGACTATATAGCCGTACAACGCCAGTCGCGAAGAACTGAGCTGTTCTGGGAGACAGCTCCAGGGCCTGTGATACTTTGCTATATACTGCCTGTCCTGTGCATCGATTTGGTACAACACCTCCAAAGCACTCGAAGAAGCTGCGAATTGATTGGGAAGCGACTCCGCCCAGCGACGCTGGGTAGCCGACTGAAGCTAGAAGATAAGCGTAATGAGCGATAATGGTTTAGTATAGAGTATAAAACTGCCATCTGGCCATTGACTCCGCTGCCTAGATCACGACAGTTGTATAGGACCTAGAGAAGGATACCATTCTACTCAATTCGCGGGCCAGACCGTGACCAACCATATGGCCAACCTCGTTCCTCGATAGCTCACCATCGTGTCTGAGCTGGATAGTATACAGCAGTGGCCTGATGGTTTTTGTGGGGTCGACGAGCGCTGGGCACGATGCGGTTCAACTCGAATGAAATACCCAATTCAGTCGGATTGGACGTACGGTTACTTGATGTGCATAAGAGCTGCTTCGATATATATATGTAGGTATATGTATAGGGCACAAAATGGCCTCACGATGGTAGGTTCATGACCCCTAGTCAACGATGGCTGTCCCATCGTCCATCAGACTGTATGTCCAGATAATCGCATGATTAATGCACGTTGTCCACCCAGAGTCAGCATGCATAGCGCTGGGTGCCATAGCGCATACCGCAAGCCGAATTGGCAGGAGTTAAGCGTAGCTGTACATCAACGTCAAACCAAATGCTATGGATAGCCGATACACTAGGATTCTATCACAAGTTCTTCTCAATGCCGAGGGGTAGCAAGAGATGATACTTCACAGCTGAGACCAGAGCCGTTGAGGGCATTTACTTTCACGTGTCTCGACCAAGGCATGTGATTGAAGTGGTGGTCTTATCTTGCCCTAATAGACAGGGATCAGTCTAGGTCTCTGAGATAGTTCTATGGATTTACCCCAACAATATACAATGGGTCTGAGAAAGAAAAAATCCCAAAAAATTCCCACACCCCCAAAAAATAGACAATTGGGAATGTAACGCTAAACACAGATAACCATAAATCAACTTTTCTTAGCGTCAATGGAGAAGAAAAACTTTTCCACCCCATCCTCACCGCTATCCAACCGCACCGGGTCCTCAAGAAGAACGTCGAAACGGTAAAGAAACGAAGGAAGAAAAAGGTCCGCAGAGGAAAACTTTGTTACCCATTACACATCGGACTGTGTCCATGGTCAAATGCCGCGGGACAATGGCATAGTGGTGGGCAGCCACCCTAATTGATAATCTATATGGTAATGGAATAGGAAAGGGAAATGACAAAAGTTACACGATTACCCAAAGGAGCAAACCTAACCACTGGACAGATCTCAGGGCAAAGGCTGGAAAAGGAAGACCGCCATGTCCAGTCATTCGGCCTCAGACCACCACGGGATTCGGGACGGAGTCGGCAGAGGGCTAAAACTAGAGGAATTGAGTCGGGACGGAGATGCCGAGGGAAAATTGCCTCAGCGGGTGTACGAAAGAGCCTTGCGCCCAGAAGTCCGTCCAGTACTATGGAGTGACTGGGGACGGGTAGTTGAAAAATAAAAAATAAAAAATTTCCCTGCCACGGAGCACCTACTCAGTCCTGTACTAGTGTGGATGAGGGGGAGAAGAACTTTCACCGAGGAACCCTTTGGGGTCTGGAGAGGAGGGGAAAAAAATTCTTTAGTGACAGTCGCCAGCGGTCTATTAGGGTTCTTAGGTAAGGAAATTTCTCCGCAATCCGCTGAAAAAACTCCCCTTCGCAAGACGGTCCCCCAGAGGGAAGAAAGTCCGGCATTCCCCCGAAATCATCCGATGGACCGTATCACTCTTGCAGGTATTTTGCCTCCGGCTTTTGTTCGTGCGCGCAGTTCTGGACTTGTCAATCCTTTTTCTTTCTTTCTTTCTCCTTACCCCCCACCCCCTTCTTTGTCTGATTCTTCAAGTTTCAGTCGACCCCTTCACCCATGAGCAACTTAAACTTCACGACGTGGCATACGCTGTATGACAATTGTACATGAAATGTCCACAACACAATCCTATTGCTGGATGACACCTCTCGTTTTCGTGATCTGAATCTCTGGCTAGTACCGAAGCCTACCAGGCAGAGATCCAATCAGCTCAGTCAACCATCCTCCAGACGGGAGATTGTCATCTAGAAAGACGGCAGTGCGCGCCACTAAAGCAGGCCCATGTCTCGACTCCTGAATTAGCTGCAAATCATTTTTCGTGACGCAATCCGGCCATCTTCCGTTGGAAAATGTGGTCCCTTTTTTATTTCTATTTTATTTTATTTTCCTAGTTTAA